AATACATTTTCTAATATATTTCTTAAAATTGTAGTAATGCTTTTTTCAAAAATAAATTATATTTAAATTATAATCGATAATGCACAACGAGTTAATTTGTTTAATTTTTACGAAAGAGATCCGTAACATTAAATAAGAAGCATTAATCAAATATATTTATTATTATTTGATAAAAATAATCTACATATATATTTTTATTAAAATGTTTGTATGTGATTGTAACAGAGAAATATGAACCATAGAAATTTAGTATTATAAAAGTAACTCGTAATGGTATAAAAATTTGGATAGAGAAATATACCAAATTTTACTTTTCTGAAATTTTTAAGCATGATAAGGTATTTGTTATATTTTTCCAATAAATCGAGTATTTAATATCTTATAACTTCAACATTAAAGTTCAATATGTCGATAAAACAAGTTTTTTTTCTTTGGTTGATTATTAATTATCCATAGTTGGAGAGTGATAGCGACTAATTGAGCAAATCTTTTGATACAGACTGTTCATTGCTTTAACATAGTAAAATTATTAGAAATCTGATTAAGTGATTTTGATTAAGCAAATCTATTAAATAATAAGCGAAAAGTAGATAATTTACATTTATGTTGTTGTTATTATTATTATTATTATTATTATTATTATTATTATTATTATTATTATTATTATTATTATCATTATTATTAAATAATAATAAGATTCATACTCGATGAATCGATTAGTCGAAATTGTTTGATGTATTAAAGAGAAAAACGACAGTTTCCATGCAATTTTTATTTATCCAATATGTAAATTTAATATTGTACGGAATTGTTATTCGTATTATTTTGCTAAAATTTGCTTGCGAAATATTGAGATTTTATTTGTAGTGATCCGCTTAATATGTATATTCAACCTTTATTTATTTAATGAAAAATCTTGTAACATAATTTATTTCTCCATAAGAATATTCAATGCTTATACCGCGCAATTAAATTAACTAAAGATATTCTAAAACGTCATTGAAGTAATTTTTAAATTTGCTCGACATTGATTATAAGTAAATTTTTTATTTCAAATTATAAAATAGTATAAAGAAAATATATGTAAATGCAATTATCGAACGTGAATTTTGAATTTTCATTAAAAAAAAAAAAAAAAAAAAAAAAAAAAAAAAAAAATGAATCAGAATAATTGAAAAAAGATAATAATAATTAAAATATGTAGTTTTAAGAAAATGTTTATGTTTCATGAAATTTTTAAAGATTATTTGGCTTGTAAGTATTTTTATAGTCCGCATCGTTGAATCCATTTTTAGCTACATTATCTAGAGCATTTGACATTCAGAAAATGTTTTAAAAGTATTCAACCTAAGAATATATAATATGTTACTTTCAACAAATATATATTCCATATTTTTAAATTTTTCAATGTACTTTACATCATGCAGCACAACTAATTCATGGAATAACGAAACTTGAATTGGAAATCCCGCAGATATTTTTGCATCTCAAAGCCTTCAAGATGTCCTTAAAATGTCGTGTAGTTGTACGCAGAATGTATTTTTCGGCTTTTAATTCATTTACATTATTAAGCAAATAATGTTCCGCAATTATTTAAGGCCAAATATTAAAATATTATTATTCTTCGTCTTTAGAGTTGAGAATCCATATATTAATTAACGACGTTGCTGATATTCCTTCGAGTGTGTGATAATAGTATTAGTAATGAATATTTATTTTCGAAATCGTAGAGAAATTAACGACGTATTCTAAAAAAAAAAAAATAAAAAAAAAAAAAAAGAATGAAAATATAAATAAAAATAAATAAAAATATGAAAATTCTGATGGAAAGATTTAGAAATAGGCTTTACATAATTAATTACCGTTTATTAAACACGAAGTAATTTAAAAATATTTAACAAGTTTATGAATTTTATAAATACCGGTTTCAATTTATAATAATTACATGTAGCAATACCCGGTGGGCACAATATAATTATCTGGTACGACTTTAAATTATTTTTAGTTTAATTAATTAGCATCGTACTTATTCACTTTTATATAATCTAATAAATAATAAATTATTATGATTAGTCAATATGATTTGTATTTATATTTTTATCACAATGTAATTTACCTCGATTTACCTCTAATCATTAGTTAGGCACAGAAAAAATTGCTATAAAAACATTATAATGCCAGGCAGTACCACGAAAGTTGAATAAAATATCGGATTCTTTAGATTATGTATTATAAAGAATCGTAGCATCGATTGCTCGAAATTCTTCTTTTTTTTTTCTAATTAATTAATCATAATTAATGAAGAACATGGTACGTTAATAGTCTGATAAATTAAAATTGACCAAAACTTACGGTATCTTTATATTTCACAATAGTTACTTACCTTCGTATTTAATAATATATATATATATATATATATATATATATATATATATATATATGTATGTATGTATTTATGGAGGAAACAATAACAATAAATTATAATAAATATTAAATTATTTTTACAATTCCTTTTCCATTTGGTATAGCCGTTTGCTGCTCCCGTATCTCCAATTGATTGTAAAATAATATATTTGATTGTTGTATGCATTGAAAATAAAGAGGATAACTTATTTAGGATCTATATTTCAATTTTATTGACACTTTTTCTTTGGCGAAAAAAATATCGACGAACTTCAGTTTTGCATTTTCCTTTATCATTCACCTAATAATTAATTAGAAAAAAAGTGCGTTTAAAATTTGTCTCCGCACGTATGTAATACATCTTGACGTATCCACAACAATGAATTAATTATTTATATCACGAGTACTTATGCATATTGCAAAACTACACGGCTGACAATGTAACTGGCTGTGGGTGCATGTGTGTGTGTGTGTGTGTGTGTGTGTGTGTGTTGTTATTACTGACCAATTTTCCATTTGTCACGTTCCCGACCTCCTCGTCAACTTCTGCATCATTTATACTGCATCATGTACGCTATTACCTAGTCTGTGATAAGTGATATTACCGATAAAATTATGGCACAACTTCAGTTAGTGGAAACTACGAAAAACGCCTTTTTCCCTCGTATTTGCATTTATTTAACCATTAATTAATCAATTTATTTAATTAATTAATTTATTCATTCTATTAATTATTTACTTTTCATTTTCGTTAATTCCTCGTTAGCTCTCTTTAAGCATTAATGAAAGTAAAAGATTTGGCGTAACAATACAAAGGAAGAGAAAAGTCAACGGTTTACGTATTTATTTCTGATGCCTTGATTTCGAAACGTGTCTGCTTCATGAAACATGAGAGCCTTTAAGCATTTCATAGTACTCTTAGTAGATATTAAATCGACGTCTTATAGCTTTGTTACATTTAAGGCTTATTACAAAAGATCACAAGAACGTTTAAGGAAATGCAATTAACAAGCCTGTCGTATTTACTTAAAGATGAAACGCTTAAGGCGCTGAGTAATATGCTAATGAAGATGCTTCGATATTTCAAACAATCCTTACATCCTGATTACTTATCGACAAAATATAGTATGCTAGAAATTCTTACTTAAATTTAATTATCCTTCTCGAAGATTCCAGCATCCTTAATCATCATTGGCGAATAAAAATATTTCCTTATTTATGATGACTTGAACTAAAATCAACAATTACTTGGAACTAATTCTGATTGTTTCCCAATGGGTAAAACTTTGTTACAATAGTTTTTAAAATTTTGCGGAGCGTATAATTTTTAACATAATTAAATTTGTTTACATAAATATAATATTCTTCTTCAATTTCAGTGTACATTACTTCCAGTGGTTGTGCCTCGGAGTGCGCAATTTCTCATGGACTCTAGCGATTCGATACCAATTCGTGCAAAATTATTCAGGCCTATCGTCCATTTTGTTTTCTTCGGCAAAAATTTTACACTTTCTCTGGCTCGGTACACAACCGGCATTGTTGGCCTTAGTTCAAGTTATTTAGAAACTTCGGCAGCACCTCATTTCGATCGAAGCCTAGGCAATCCGAAAACGTCATTCCACAATGTCGATAATAAATATTATTACCACAATTTTTTGCCAGTAACACTTTCGCGACACACATTTTTTTTTACATTTTTTTTTTGTTTTTTGTTTGTTTATTTTGTTGTTTTTTTGTTGTTGTTGTTGTTTTTTTTTTGTTTTTTTTTTGTTTTGTTTATACACCGGGGATAAAAAAATTAGCGACCGAGCTCGATATTTACAACACAGACTTCATAATCCGCCTGGCTCATCTCGGCAATTTACCTTAGCGATTCTCGTCACAAACGAAAAATAAAAAAAAGATAAAATAATTAAAAAAAAAATAATAATAATAATAATAATAATAATAATAATAATAATGGAAATAAAAGAAATAAAAAAAGGGTTGAAGGAAAGACTGAGAGAAGGAAGTGGGGAAGGAAGGAAGGAAGGAAGGAAGGAAGGAAGGAAGGAAGGAAGGAAGGAAGGAAGGAAGGAAGGAAGGAAGGAAGGAAGGAAGGAAGGAAGGAAGGAAGGAAGGAAGGAAGGAAGGAAGGAAGGAAGGAATAAAGGAAGAATAAAAGATGAAATAATGGATAGATGGCTGGCGTATAAAGTAATGGGAACGAATCGAACATTTATACAAAATACTAGTATCCAGGCGTTGCAGCCACGTTCCCTGGAAGCATTATTCTCGCGAACTCGGCAGACGCGAGTACAGGAAGCGAGGCGCAAAAGGGTCGCGAGATTAGGGACAATGTGAGGATAATCGAGGTTGAAGAAGTAAGAGCAGGTTCGTTGCCGGTGGGCGAGCCCGTGTCCTCGACACGAGGTCCCCCGTCATTCCGCACAAATCCGACGAGCCCTTTTGCATGGCACCATATGCGTGTGTGTGTGTATATATATATATATATATATATATATGTATATGTATATACATGCACACGTACATGCGTGCATACATACATATAAATATACACATGTAGATAGATAGATAGATAAAAAGCGAGTCGCGTTCTTTCGTCCTCTCTGTCATTCACACTCACTGTGTCACGCTCGCTCACACTATCTCGCGATGAGGCAGGAAATAGGTTAAAATCACAGTCGCGGGACTCGCGCTCGTCCCTCCTCCCGCGCTAATCCTGGAAGGACGCTTTTTAAACGCACGTGCACGTATGCGCGTGCACGCTACGTATGCGGAAAAGTTCGGGCGCGCGGTCACGAGGCCGCGGTCGAGTAGCCGCGGGTGTACCGGGCCGGGGCCGTACCCGCTGGTTAGCTGTTGGGCGGCTCGGGGCTCGCGGTCGCTCGGCTCGTCGCGGCCTCGTCTTCGTCCTCGTCGTCCTCGTCCTCTGGGCGCTCGCTGTCCGTGGAGGGGGGCGCCGTGGGCGACGACTGCTTGCCGTTGTTGTTCACCGAGGACGTTTCCCCGCCGTCCGGACTGCTGCTCGCCTGGAATTAGCCCAAAAACGCATTGCTCTCGTGATCGAGGAAGTAGCGCGGGCGTCGCGGGACGTCCCCCTTAGACGGCCGCCGAAGCCGACACGGCTATACGAAAGCACGGAGTCACGCCTCGCGGCCCCGTTGACTCCTCCTTCGCTCGCAGCCCCGTTCGCGCTTTTACCGAGCGGCGAGTCGTAAGAAGAAGACAATAAGAAACAACCTACAAAAGGCCGGCCACTTTCTTTTAATCGGCTCGGCCACCGCTTTCTTTTATTCGACGCTTTACTTGGAAAGTTTAAAGGCACGGACCGCGAGAATTTGCTGCTCGAATCCCAAATTTTTGACCAACGTGACGATCGAAGTAAGCGCGGCGAGTGTATTATGGCGTAACTCTATCGAGTCAGATGTCTACGCACCGTGTTCAAACCCTCTTCACCACACTTTTCCGCCCCAACCAATCTAATACTCGTTCCCGCGAAATTAATTAATGGCCAAGATAGTTGCAGTTCCCGTAGAGTATCGCTACCATCAAGTAGCAACAGCGGTAGTAGTAGTAGTAGTGGTAGTAGTAGCAGTAGCAGTAGCAGTAGCAGTAGCAGTAGCAGTAGCAGTAGCAGTAGCAGTAGCAGTAGCAGTAGCAGTAGCAGTAGCAGTAGCAGTAGCAGTAGCAGTAGCAGTAGCAGTAGCAGTAGCAGTAGCAGTAGCAGTAGCAGTAGCAGTAGCAGTAGCAGTAGCAGTAGCAGTAGCAGTAGCAGTAGCAGTAGCAGTAGCAGTAGCAGTAGCAGTAGCAGTAGCAGTAGCAGTAGCAGTAGCAGTAGCAGTAGCAGTAGCAGTAGCAGTAGCAGTAGCAGTAGCAGTAGCAGTAGTAGTAGCAGTAGCAGTGGAAGGGTTCGAGTTAAATAGAGCTGGGGGGCTCGCACGAAAATGTAAAAGTTAGGCTCACCTCGAGATCGTCGTCCGACGGCTCCTTGACGGCGAGTATTCGCGACTGTCCCTTGCCGGCAACGAGATCCCGGGAGGCGATCTTCCGGTCGTGCTCTCCGGGAGTCTGCTGCTGTTGCTTGTCGGGTCGCGGCGGCGCCGGGGATTCGGGCGTCGCGACGGTGCGGCTGCTGTTGCTGTCCGGCACCGAGTTCCCGTCGCTCACCAGCAGCGAGTTGTTCGAGTCCGAGCTGCCCTCCGTGTCCTTGGACGGCTGCTTCGAACCGAGTCTCCCCTGAGCCCCGGACTTGGGATTGTTCTGGTTCTTGTGCTCGGCCGCCTCAGCGTTACTTATGTTGTCCTGCTTCTTCCACTTGGTGCGCCGATTCTGGAACCAGATCTTCACCTACGCAGATGCGAGATCGCGTCTTTCCCATTATTAGCCGGGCCGAGCGTGGAAGAAATTTCATTACGGGAAGTAAGGAGAGCGGACGCGCTGCTACCTTCCTAAACGGCTGCTTCGGCGGCATTTTAATCGCCTAATAGTCGGCTTTACTTCATTGATTTCTAATTCCGTAGTTAAGCAGCAGCCACCGAATCACTCGACTGCTTTATCGAATTCGCCCTACAAATTGTATTCCCTCGAGGCTGGCGCATTTTTCGCTCTCGAGCCCCACCCGCCCCTCCCGAGTCGCCCTCTAACAAGCGTACGTCAACCGACGACCGTAATTAAAAAATACTTGAATTTATGTAAAACACAAATTTATTTATGGGGCTCTGGCATTTTTCGACCTTTTCGCCCGCGCCTCATTTAATAACTGTATGAGAAATATGTAACACCGTCGTTGACTACTCGAAAGTATTACAATGATTTATATTCCCTTTTATTTATACGAATAAATGAAAAGCTAAACTAATATATATGCGCGCGTATGTTTTTATTTTGTAAGGTTTTATAGGCTCGTTTCTCTATTATATGCTATAATAAATTATAACGGGTAAGTTGAAGGATTTGCAGGTTTAAATAGAAAATTTACACTCTGCACATCGTTGTCGTCATAGTCGTCGTTGTTTTTCTTTTTATTGTTATTAGTATTTATTTTATTAGTGTTATTACTAATAATATTACTATTTTCCGACCTAGCCCAGTAGAAAATAAAAATTAATGAGCTTTCTGCTATTTTAATTGTCTCCATGTTTATTCTCAATTTTATTTTAAATATTTGACATTTTAATTTGGTTTGAAGAAAAAAAAATGTTTGACAGAGTGTAAATTTATCTTATATTTGTATAATCAGCATGACGATTATACAACTAAAATGTCTATTTCATTAATATTTTTCACTTATCTTGTCCATGGGAAATAAATTAACTCTTGTACAATGTTACTTTTATGTATTTAAAGTGGCGTTAAATTGAAGCAATTAAACTCTCAATATATTATTATTATTATTATTATTATTATTATTATTATTGTTGTTGTTGTTGTTGTTGTTGTTGTTATTATTACTTTTGTCGTGCAAATAATTTAATTTATTAACTTTTCAGAAGCTTCTCGTTATATGTTTAATACATTTAATAGCTATGTTTTGTACATTTAATTAAAATAATTTTATCTGGCTAGTGGTTATACAGATTTGATCTTTTAAAGTTCATTATTACTTTTGTTTATTTACATAGAAAAATGAAAAATTATGTTAAATTGATCGATGTATTGTTTTAAAATTATTACGCCAATTGTACGATAAAGATAATTTTGTAATTTAACGAAGATGCATTTACAAGATTTAATTTTATCATTTTTTTTGTTTTGTTTTGTTTTGTTTTTTTTTTTGTACAGGATATTTTCAATGAATTATCATTGTTTGGATTTTGTATGTAAATATGTCATTATTGAAAACTGGGTATTTTTAATTCTTGAAATTCAAAATTTACGATAATATTAGTGAAAAATATTGTTTGAATAAATATTTCAATAAATATTGATTAATTATAATTTATTTATTAGTACAGTTGCTTTATTTATTTATTTATTTATTTATTTTTTTTTTTTGCTTTTTGTTTTGTAATAACTAATAAGAGGTTATTTTTGAAAAGTTTACGAATGTGAATTAAAAGAAAGTTTTTCATTTATTTAATCAATCATTTCTCAACATGTCAGATAAAATCAAATAAATTATTACGATAGGAGCATTATCGATAAAGTCGATTTAAGATTCAATTATCCAGTTTCACATTAAAAATATCTTTATCTAATTGACCACTTATTTATTTGCGAATACGCTTTGTTACGTCGGGTGCACTTTGTTGCAGCAGTCCTGCATGGAGAGTGAATAGAGGAAAGAGGAAAGATTACGTTACGTGATTATTTTCACTCCGGGAGAAGAGAAAGACAAAGAATGAAGAAAATAATAAGAATAAAGTGAAAATAGAACAATATTTTAGGAATTTGGGTGCTCCACGGTAACATTAGAGAGTATTTTGACATTTAAAACGACGTCAATATTGATTAAGATAAAGGACACTTGTTTACAATTCTAAAAAGCGAATAATATTTGAGATTTATTTACGCGAAAATGTTTCCATTCGCAGCATTTGTAAACAAAATTTAAAAATTACTTATGAAAACATGAACTGACAAGATGGCAGTATATACAGGACTCGGGTAAACACAGTTGCAAAGGACAGTATGTATTACAAATAAAATATATAAATTACAGCGCGAATGCGTGAATTTTTTTTTATTTTTTTTTAATGTAAACTAACGCATTTTTTACGAATGAAATATAATTGATATTAATTGAAATAACATTAAAATGATTTTTATTCCCGAATCATTAAACGAGGATACGAGCGAATGATATAATGTAAGATAAGCTCTTTCTGTTACTGAATTATGCGCGACGAGAATTATGTGCGAAATAATATTGCCGACGGCGAGTAATCTCAATTATAAAAATATCATAATACAGTGAAATTCAATTTTTCTTCTCGCCAATTATAAACGGATTAGTAAAGTGCGCTTTCACTTCTAATAATCCATTTCGCTCTCAATAGTGGCCCCCGAACGCGCGGTCAATTCTTCAAATCGACTGCAAGCCGAATAACAAGTACGGTAGAAATTATCTTAATCTTTTTGTCTGTCGTAACGATCGCCGAAGAAAGTTTAAGTTTCACTTTGAAGGATTTTAAAAGATCGTGAGAGAGAGAGAGAGAGAGAG